CATGTTTGTTGTCTTCATTTTTTGTGTATTCACTGTATTGTATTGAACAAAATGGTTATGCGGCCGCGCTCGTCATTCTCTCAGTTATCTGGCCCGCTGTGAAAAAAAGTTTGACACCTGCTCTAATCTGTCATGTCTAAAGTATGGTGAAGCCCTTATATAGCGTAATGCCAAAATTCTATCTAGACAAACAAGATCTGTGTGAATTATTTGTGTGGCTAAAATTATTTCCCAGCGTGCTTTACCTGATATTTGAAGAAAGCTACCAGGTGGATCCTCAGCATTGACGTCATATTTTTGAACTGAAAATTCCATCACGCCGATCAGGTCTTTACCATACAGTTCCACTATGTCGAAGGTGTTCCCAAAAGGTGCGACCGTCAAAATGTCTTCCAACATAATGTCTCCTAATAAAGATAAAATAAATATTGATGTTAACTTTTGGAAGCTATGGTAACATATGAAATTCACTTGACAAAGGGAAGATTCATTATGTGTATAGACTAGATAGAAAAAGCATGTTATGGACAATTCTAATTTTAATAACAATGCTTGCTAAGCACGTGGATCCGTTAATAATACAAAGAAAGAATTGATTTATTACGTCAGTGAAATAAAAATGTCCAATTTTTTCTAGTAGTATTCTTTTTTTAGGGAAGTAAGAACTGTGTTTTTTTTAATGTGCCATTTTTATAATATTCATTCATCATTATTGATGTTTTGTTTTTCCTGGACTTCTTGTAGACTAGAAGAATAGTTATTACTCCCTCAGCAGACGTTGTCGTGGACTGTAACAAGTACGTGAATTTGACTTGTAAACACGAGACCACCCCAAACTTAACATTGTCTGTCAAAAATGGTACTCGGATCGCAATCTGCGGGTCGCGGGTTCGTATCCCCCGTCACCGAACATGCTCGCCATTTCAGCTGTGGAGGCGTTATAATGTAACGGTCAACCCCACTATTCGTTTGTAAAAGAGTATCCCATTTCTCGGGTTTCATCCACGTAAACTTTCTCACAGGATTGGCATATGATGCAACATAAACGTATTGTATTTTGTACTCAGGCATGTGGGGCATCTTTAGTTTCTCAATGGGTTCAATGTTAGTGTTGTAGTGAATATAAAGTGTTTACATATCATCGTTGGTCTTTCTCTATCTTCACGGGAAAAACGTTCCTTTTTTGCTCTAAGATGGCGAGTTGTAATGAAGCGTTGTAGAAAATACCTGACAAAGCTTGAACATAAAATTAAAACTATCTTTTGTATTTTCAAAAAAAAATCATTTTCTACAACGCTTCATTACAACTCGCCATCTTAGAGCAATAGGACATATTCTAATGGCTCTAAGAAAATAGTGAAGAAATAATAGATGTTCTGACTGGCTTATGATGGAACGAAAAATATGTGAACAGAATTTAAAGAATCTGTCGGCTTACGATGTACAGAGAGGACAGAGTCTATGTTTTATCCAATTATCCAGTACAGAAAGTTGAGATGTTTTCCAATATGGCAGAGAATGATCAATCAACGATAATATAGAAATTCTATATTGGCTACAATACTAACATTGAACCCCCTACAAAAAATATTAAGAAAAAATAACTTTATAATCATATCCAATGGTCAGAACACTACTAAAGATAACCTAACCTCAAATAGAACCACGCCTGAAGAGCTGTTTATATTATACTATGCCAATCCTGTAGGAAAAAGTATGTGGGTGGAACTGGAAAAAAAATGTGTACATCAGTGTTTCTGAACCTAAACATTCATTAAAATGTGGAAGCATAAGAAACTCTGGCCATCATATCAACAAGGATTCTATACACAAAAACAAGAATTGTTGAAAGTACCATAACTAAAAGCCTGTCTAATTTCAACCCCTCCTGCAGTGACTTTAAGCTAAAAAACTTCACCTCTCGTATCAGTTTCGAGGTCATGTACACGTTGAAGAACTGTTTATATTATACTATGCCAATCCTGTGAGAAAAAATATGTGGGTGGAACTGGAAAAAAAATGTGTA